TATTCTTCTTATTATTATTGTTACTATCAACATGTTAACCCCCTAAACCCTAACCCCTTATACTCTAAACCCTACAAACCCCTAAGCCCTAAACCCTAAAAACCCTAAGCCCTAAAAACCCTGAAATCCCTAAACCCTAAACCCTAAAATCCCTGAACCCTCAAAGCCCTAAACCCTATAATCCCTAGACCCTAAACCCTGAGGTTGTTATTCCTGAGGTCCTGGGCCGCGGAGTCCCGCGACCGGCAGATTCCAGGCTCCGAAAAGTTCAGCCTCGAGCGCTGCCTCGGGGAGCCGGTCAAGGCCTAGGGTTTAGGGTTTAGGGTTTAGGGTTAAGGGTTAAGGGTTAAGGGTTTAGGGCTTGGGTTTTAGGGTTTAGGGTGTAGGTAGGGGGTGCATAGGGGATTCTATGGGGGATATAACTGCAGTTTGGGGGTTGAGGGTACCGTAAAGGGCGGATGTTCAAATGCTGGGTTTAGGGTGTAGGGGCTTAGGGTTTAGGGGTTTAGGGTTTATAGGATTTAGGGGGAGGGGTTTTGGGTTTAGGGGTTAGGGTTTCGGATTTTAGGGGCTTGGAGTTTTGGGATAAGAGGGTGTAGGGTATAGGGTTTACGTGTTGGGGGTGGGGGTTTAAGGATTTATAGTTTAAGCCCAGGGTTTAGGGGTAGAGGTTTGGGCTCTGGGGTTTTGGATTTGAGGTGTAGGGTTTAGGTTGGGTACTGCCCCCCCTTCTAACAGTTGGATAATAAATATACTATGGTTATATATAGCCCTTAATAGGACCCCTAATATAGACTGTTACTGGGTGGGGGCACCGAAGGTTTAGGGTTTTAGGGCTTAGGGGTTCAGGGGTATAGGTTAGCGTTTGGGGGTTTAACGTTTAGGGGGATGGGGTGTAGGGTCTAGGGGGTTATACGTGTAGTTGCATTTCGGGTTTTGGATTTAGGGTTTAGGGTTTGGGGTTTAGAGTTTCGGGGGTCCCCAAAATACGGATAAGCTATATTGGGGCCCCCTATTTGTTGCATTTTGGGGACTGCACTGTTTAGGCCCTGTTTCAGGGTTTAGGTTTTGAATTATTGGGTTTAGGGTTGCAGGGTTCAAGGTTTAGGTTTTGTAGTTATTTGGTGTGTGCAGTTGAGGGTTGGAAGGCTTTGATCACAGAACCTGCATGCACCATCCACCCACAACCCTCCACAAATGACAGCGCTTAAATTTGCGGGAGCTCATAGTGGCCGCATGATCAGATGTCATTACAGCTAGTAATACAACGAAAGAAAGTGTGCAACACTGAGATATGATTTGCTCGATTTGCAGAAAGATGTTTTAATAGCGTCGCTCCCTCTTACAGTAGCTGTCCTTAAATGGTCTTTATTATGGTGGGTGTTGTTAAAATTGTATTACCTATTTTGGCAACAGTCGCTGTAAAGGGGAGCGACTTTAAGGTGAAGGGAGCGGCAGGCTGGAAGCATGAAGCGGGAGTTCCATTTTCATGCAGCAGAACACTTGTAGCAGTACCCAAGCAGGTACGGGACCCTGTAGGAGTGGTGATGCCGAAGATGGGTTCTACAGTAGCTATTTTCAGCAACCAGAGCATTATCTCCTTGGATGCCGAGAATCAGACGTCCATGAAGTATTCTTGTGTGTAAGTGTCATACATGCTTTCAGGTGAGGACCAGCATTGTATTCTGAAAGGGTCACATCCCAAATTTTGATTCAGACCCACTTTCCATTGATACTGAGCCACCCTTCCTCTAGAGCTGGATAGTACCCGCACCTTTTTTGTTGATTCTGCTCGTGAGGGAAGGAAGCCCTTGCTCAGGTACGAGCCTGGGTTGTTGCTGGGCTTCCTAACGACTCCTTCAGCATTGAGAACGGCATCATCATGGACAAGGCAAGCAGCATTCAGTGCCCATGGCCTTTCTTCAGCAGTTCCTGTCTTATGGGGTGGTGGATGGAGTCAAACTCGGGATCAGGGAATTGAAAATTTTTCAAGACTTGTCCTGGGTTCAAGGCGGTATACGGATTAGGGTGGACCGGACATATCCACTAGACATTTTGAGCGTATTCTCGGATGTAGCACGCACCTGAAATTCCGAAACCTGAAGCACCAATCCCCAAATTCGACTCTAGACCCGGCATCCCCAGCGGCTTAGCCTTAACCTATCCTATCCTATCTCGACATGAGACCTCGAGTCGGTCACCTATCAACCCTAGAAAAGCATACCAAGACGCCATGGCAAACTTACAACCAAAGCCACTGCTGAACAGGCACGGCGGCCCGTTGCTCAGATTTAGCCAGGTACGTAAACAATCCGTATTTAGGGCCCAAAGGGGGTTCCCGTACGTAATTACTTTGGGGCCCGAGTATCTACTATGTATTTTCCTTTGCGTTCGCTTAGGCTTAAGGCTTCAGGCAATGCACTCAAGATTCATGATGTGGTGCCGGGTTACCCAGAAAGCCCAATACCCCTTAATTAGGGTTAAATCATGTTAGGGATCCTGGTATCATTTAGAGTATATTCCCTGATTAAAGGATATTGGTCCTTGTGGCTTGGGTACCTCGGCAGCCCACAAGTGTAAACTGATGGTTTTGTTGATAAAGTCTCTCCAGCCTGGGTAAACACTGTGCTTTTAGAGTTTTGGGTTTAGGGCTCGTTTAGATTTGAGTATGGGGTGGCTGGTTAACATCCTCCAAAAAGTCAAGAATCCAGCTCTACCCGGGATTCATGGATAGCTAACCCCTATATAACCCTTAGTAGTTTCCATTTTCTTCTCAATTGTCCCAATACAACCCCAAACCCAATCATAGGACGGTCTACAGGTGGCTAGTTATGATTAACAGTAATACCAGCTAGGGTATGTATATCCCAGCGTGGAACTGCCTGCTAGCCTCCATCTAAGGTTCTTTAGATGGTGGTCCTATCGTTCTTAATTGGGAGTACGACTTTATCTCCCTTTTGGGTAAACTCCTTTAGAAGAAGGTCATCGTCCTATGTGATTCCACCAAACAAATCACCACTCAGCGAGGCCTAGTTTCCGTTTCATGTTCTGTTTTATCTTCCATTGGACTCTCCATTATCTAAACCCTAAACCTTAAAATCCCTAAACCCTCAACCCTCATATTCCTAAACCCAAAACCCTAAACTCCCTAAACCCTAAAATCCCTAAACCCTAAAATCCCTAAACCCTAAAAGCCCTAAAATCCCTAGACCCTAAACCCTCCTAAGCTCCCAGGTGGCCCCTTTGCATTGACCCGCAGGGCCAGGCAAACCGGTGGATCAAGAAGTGCCGACGGCGAGTTTGGGGAACGGCAGTTGGTGTCTCTATGGAAGTCCTCGGATCCGTGAAAACAAGTATATGCACACGATCTATATATATGTACAGAATATATATGTATATGTATATGTATAATGTTGGGCCCTCTTTAATG